GCAACACCCTGCTGTTGGTGAGCGTAAGGAAGAGAGATGAGGCGTTTGATGCCTCTTTCTGCCAAGAACTGCCTGAAGCGTTGTGACTGGTATTCCATCGCGCCATCTGACTGAAAACTTTTCAGTTTCGCTCCCGACTCTCTTTCAGCGACAGGTAGCCAGGCTGTGAAGGCTTCTAGAGCCATGTCTCGTGACGGTAAGTTGACGTGTCAGACATATCGCGTTGCGGCGTCGATGAAGGTGATGACGTAGTTCAGATCTTCGCGTCCTTCAGTTCGTGGTACGTATAAGATGTCACTGTAAACCTTTTCGAGTGGTTGATAAACGGGGGCGCTCGGGTTGTGATGTGACGGGAACGGTTGGTGAGGTAAGTCCGCTTCCGGGCAGATTAAGCAGGTGCCGCGTGGTCGTTCGAGTTCACGTCCGCTGGGAAGAAGCAGGGCGTTCTTGTCTAACACTCCGGCTCGTATTGTGTTGTAAAGTGTTTTGTTTCCAGGATGTCCAAGACGTTGATGCCAGATGTCTTCGGAAGCGCTGTGACCGACGGAGCGTTGATAGAAGTCTGCGTTGGCGAAGAAGGCGGCGTGTGTTGCTGCACTTCGATGAACGGCGCGTGGTGCTGGCGTTAACTGTTGGGCAGCTGTCGGTGGCGTGTCGATGATGAGAGGTGGTGGCGCGACGGAGGGACCGGGCTGTGGGGTTTCGGAAGGTGGTTCCACGACGATGGTTGGTTCTTCAACTGCAGGTTCGGTGGTTGTTGGTGCTGTGTCGGGTGCAGTTGTTGTTTCGATGACGGGTGCTGACTCAGGCGTTGTTGCTTGTGTTTGCAGGACGGCAAGCGCGTTGGTGCGTTCAGCTTCGGGAATGGTACGGGAGTACCAAAAGCCTTCAGGACTGAAGTTCGGGTCGAGGTCTGGCGGATGCGTCCAGGGTGCGAAGGCGACTATGCCATTGCTGTCGGCGGTGCCTTTGTCGGGGACGAAGTCAAGAACGAAGACGTCATCTTGTTGGATTGCGCGGCCGATGAAGACCCCCCCTTTTCCGTGGTAAAGACGGATTTCCCGGGCGTCGGAGTCATACTCCAGGTGAATGCCTTTCGACATGAGTTGGCTGATGCTGAGTAAGTTGAAGCCTAGGTTGTCGACGACGAGTACTTTGTTTAACTGAAGAATGACATTCGTTTCGTTTGACTGAAGCTCCACGATTCCTTGCTTGTCCGTGCGCAGGTTTTCGTTGTTGGCGACGGTAATGATAACATCTCGCGGAAGTCGTCGTTCGCGTTGAAGAAATCGCGATGAAGAACACATGTGGTGACCACACCAGCTGTCGAGGAACCATGTGTCGGGTCCAGTGGGTGTACTATTTGCGACGGCGGCATATGTCGGATTCACATTGAAGGATGACGGTGGCAATGATGGTCGCTCGTCGGGACTGTAAGTCGGTGGTGAATTGGTAATGCACGAGTCAATGTTTGACTCTGTTGTTCGTGCCATGGCGACGATTCTTGATGTTTGTGCAGGTCCCGAAGTGGAAGTTGGTGGTCGCGTTGAAGTAGTCGTTGAGGCGGTCGTGGGTCGTTGTTGAGTTGACGCGATGTGAGGAGGTGCTGGTCGCAGAGGACGAGAGAATGGTGCTGGTTGTCCTTGTTGCTGAGGGCAGTTGAAGCGTGTATGTCTTGAAGTCCGACACAGATGACAGTAAGGAGGTACGTGTCCTCGATTTTGGTAACGTGGCTGTCGTCGATTGGTGTAAAGAACGACTGGTTGATGATGCCTTTTGTTGTTGCGTTCTTCGAACATGTCCATTTCCTGCTGCTCGGCGTGAAGTTCGGCGCAGAGATGCATTTCGGAGAGTCGACCATGAGCACGAACATGTGAACGGGTGGTACGCCATTGAGGTCCAAGGCCGGCAAGAACGACTGTTACGAAAGCTTCTTCAGATAAGTTTCCTCCGCAGCGAATAAGTCTGTCGCGTAGTCCTTGACAGCGGCTGATGTAAGGCATGGCCTTTTCTCTAGGTTGCATTTGAATTGTTGTCAGTTGTGCCATGAGTCTGCTTTGTGTAACGCTGTCGGATGCTTGATGAATGCTTCGCAGATGTTGATAGGCGAGTTCCGCGGAGTTTGCGTAGTTCCGGTAGGCGCGGATGCTTTGTTGTTCGTTCGGCGACAAGTTTCGGAGAAGAACGGTGTAAGCCATCAGGGAGTGATACGTATAATTTTCTTTGTCTTTGACTTCGCTGTAGTGTGGATATGGCCAGGTACCGTTGAAGAATCCAAGAAGATTCGCGCCTTCCATCAGGAGTTCAAACTCGAAACTTCAGGAAAAGAAGTCTTTCCCATTGAATGGTGTGGATGTGTGCAGTCGCACGATGTTGTTGAACTGCGTTTGTACTTGCAGGACTTCTTCGGTGTCTCGTTTGATGGCGGGAAGAGGAGTCGCTGGATGGCGAGGCGGCATGAACGTGAAGGAACCAGGTGAGACCGAATTTGGTGTTTGTTGATTATGTCGTCCGAACGATGAGTTGTCAATACTCATTGGTGCCGCTCCGTTGTTTACGCTGTTGCTGTTTGCAGGTTGTGATTACTGCTGCTGCGACATGAAGTTGAAGAACTGCTCCATTAAGCTTGGGTCGAAGTTTGTTGGCGGCGCTACTGGCGCCTGAGTGGATCGTTCCGTTGTTAATCCGGACGTTGTTCCTCCTTCGGTCTGCAACTCGGAGACCGGGGGTAGAGTAGATCCCGTAGATGACCTTCTCTCTTTGCCACTTGCCATGTCTTGCCTTTCTTGAATGAAGATTGAACTTCTTGTTTGCTTGCAGATTGGTAGCCTGGAAGAGGCTTAGTGACGAGAGCCTTTGTTCTCTGACTGCTCTCATACCATGTTGGGCTGAGGATTTCAGCCTTAGGATCTTTGTAGAGAATAGGCTAGTAGGTGCTAGAGTAGCACAGCGGAAGACTTGAGTGAATGTACTTGTGCTAGTTTGTGAGAACAAGTAATTGATTATAGCAAAGGGCATACAGGAATATATAGGAAAGATAGATTACAGGAAGCGGTTATGTTTATCGAGACGCGTAACTCTTCGACTATCGAGGCGGTTACTGTTCACTGAAGCGTCGCTTGCTGTTACGTAACCTCCAGGCGGTTACAGCTCGCAACCTCCAGTTGCGGTTTGATGTGGTACGCGCCTTTTCGACTTCATACCCCTTTTCTTGTGCTTCAGTATCGGGTGAGGTTCGATACTACAGAAACGCACTAAGTCATGCGTTTATATTCCCAACAAAACAGAAGTGAAATGATGGCAATAATAATTATAAATGTGTACAGCTGTCGACTTTTCAGGAGACTTGAAAACAATATTCAAACATGAATGAGGTAAGATATGCAGTTATGTTTGTTGAGATACATTACTCAAAATGTTGTAACACTGTGCCAAAGCAGGAGCACCCTTGCAATATGCATCAAACATTTTGGTATAGACAATCAAATCTGCAAGGTCCGGTACTTCTGATCGTTCTAGAAGTGCCCATTTACCTGCACACAAACAACCCATCTCTGTAAACTCTGGGCCAAGGAATATGCAAAATCTTCCTTCGTTAACTTGAAAAGGGAATTCTGCAATTTGTTTTTACCGTGTAAAGGAGCCAAGGTAGAGAACCAGCCCAGACCTTGAGCAGCGAGAATGGCGGCACCTTTCACCCCAACTTCCTGAAATGCATTCACAACGGACAACGAGAGCAGGACTCGAGTTGTAGCAACAAACAAAGCAATGCATGTGGTGCCTTGTATGGGACCACCACATGCCTTGCACAACACGCACACACCAGTTTGGTTTAACCCCAACACACCATGTAACGTATAGTCATCTCAAACGTCCTCACAAGATACGAGACACCTTGAAAGTGCTAAGCAGTTTTGAGGTGCCGTGAGAACCACATGGCGCCAGTTTACTGAAATGAGATAATTCCACCTGAGAATCAGCGAAGCAGTCGATTGGCCGGTTGAACACGGATGCCATTATGCGGACCCAAGTAGACGAGCTGGGGAGAGAGTGGTGGAAGGGGGGGAGAGGGGGGAGAACGGCGGAGGGGTAGGGAAACATCAAGTTGACTAAATTTCACCTCCGGTGAACACGGATGCCATGATGCGAACCCAAGCTGAAAAGCTGGGGAGAGAGTGGGGGAGGGGGGAGGGAGGTTGGGTGGGAAAGGGGGAGGGTGGGAGTGGAGGGTGAGGGGGAGCATAGGGTGGAGGGGTAGAAGATGCATATTTTTAGGAGAAAATTGAACTCAAAATCACCTCCAATTGAACAAGGATGCCATGATGCGAACCCAAGTTGACGAGCTGGAGAGAGAGAGAGTAGCGTGGGGGAGGGAAGGGGGGACGGGTAGAAAATGTAGATTTTGACGCAAAGTTACAGCTAAAAAAAAACCTCTTGTTGAACCAAGGATGCTTCTGAGTTAACTCAAAAATCACTTCCAGTTAAACACAGAATGCCATGATGCGAAACCAAGCTGATGAGCTAGAGGGAGTGGGGAAGGTGGCAGTGAAAATTGCAGAGGGTTGAGGTGGATGAGAGGAGACAAGCCATTAAAAAAAAAGTCCACAGGAAGGATGAGAGGAGACATAGACACATGAAGATTTGGAGAAGGTTAAACGAGACAATTCTAGGGCTTCTAGATGTTTAGAAAAAAGTAGGCATAAAAAATGGTTGAAAGGGTAAAAAAAAAAATAAGGAAGAAATTTTATCAAGCATACGTGAATGGCATCTGGATAATGCAAAGTAAGAAAAAAAGAAAGGTCAAACAATTGCAATTTATGGAGTGGTAACATGATGAGGAGAGTAAGAGATGGTAACAACGTTGCATGGACATACCGAGCGCCACCACCAACAATGCGCAGAGCAGAAGGGTTGCTGCTTCTGACTTTTGTGGTGCCTAAAAAGGCTTCTGTGGCGCCTAAAAAGGGTTTTGTGGCGCCTAAAAAGGCTTCTGAGCCGCCTCAAAAGAAGGAACGGTGACAGCATTGCATGGACATACCGAGCGCCACCACCAACAATGCGCAGAGCAGAGGGATTGTTGCTTCCGCTCCCACCACCGTGTGCGTGCATGGCGGTGTGGGCGGAGAGCAGTGCATATGCCACTCCCTCTTGGACCTGCGGGGATGAGTGATGGAGGGGAAGGAATTAGTGGGAAATGCAGGGATGAGGAGTGGCAGTGGAAAGAAGTCTTGCACGTTTGGCTGGCGGTGTTGGCTGATAGCAGTGCATTTACCACTCCCTCTTGAACCTGAGGGGATGAGCAGAGGAGGGAAGGTAGAAAAGGGCAGGAACCGCAAGTGGGTGGGGTAGTGGAAGGGGCAGGGATGAACAGTAGCAGCGACAAGAGGTCCTGCTTGTGTGCTTGGCGGTGTGTTGCTGAGAGCAGCAGAAGAGCAACGGAAGTGACAAGATATTTTCATACGTACATGGCAGCATGGGCCAAGAGGAGGGCGTATTATGCGTACCATACCATACCATACCATACCATACCATACCATACCATACTATACCATACCATACCATACCATACCATACCATACCATACCATACCATACCATACCATACCATACCATACCATACCATACCATACCATACCATACCAATACCATACCATATAATACCATACCATACCATACCATACCATGCCATACCATACCATACCATGGGGCATGCTCTGGACATACTGCACGTATCATGTGTGAATGAGTGGTAGAGGCAGATATGCCGATGAATGCCGCCCGCATGTTGGGGTCCTCAAATGGACACCGCTCGCCTGAGATTATGGCACAGTATGGCATGGCATGGCATGGCATGGCAAGGCATGGAAGGCGAGTGAACATGCAGGAAAAACTGCAAAAGATTGTAGTCTTGATGCAATAAAGTGTTTTGAGAGGATGAAGTGTTTTGAGAGGACGATGATGATGATGATGTGTTTTCGAGTCACCATTTAAAAACGGAAGGTAAAGGAGGCCACCACTGCCAGCTGGCACGGATGCTGCTGCCACGTCAGCATTGAGAAAGGTAGAATCTGAGACGTCTGGTTGGAGGGGACGTTGAAGGTGATTGGGGGAATGGCATGTGATAATAACCTGATTCAAATCGGCTCATGCGGTAACATGCACATGCATATACACATAAGCATGCCATCCATGCACACACACATAAGCATGCCATCCATGCACACACACATAAGCATGCCATCCATGCACACAGCAAGCAAAAACCCTTGCGTTATTGAATCGACATCAGCGTTACAGCAAATAATGACTTGCCAGTGCTGCCGCTGCTGCCACCGCTAAGGAGGTTGCTGATCGCCCACTTGAGATTGCCCCCTGCTGTCATTATTGGCGCTGGTGGGGGAGAGGGAGGGGGGTTGGGGGGGGGGGGGGGGGGGGTGGTGGAAACATGCAGCGACACACAGAAGAACCACCTGCCACTGTTGTTGCCACTGCCGCTGCCGCTGCCGCTGCTGCCATCGCTGAGGAGGTTGCTAATCGCCCACTTGAGATTGCCCCCTGCTGTCATTATTGGCGCTGGTGGGGGGATGGAAACACACAGCGAAACACGAGAGAAACGCTTGTGCTGTCAGTGCTGCCGTCACTGCCACTGCTGCTGCTGCTGCTGCTGCTGCTGCTGCTGCTGCTGCTGCTGCTGCTGCTGCTGCTGCTGCTGCTGCCGCTGCTGCTGCTGCTGCTGCTGCTGCTGCTGAGGAGGGTACTAACAGCCACTTCAGAGGCTGCTGCTGCTCCATGGTCAGGTATGGTCAGGTATGGTCGATACTGACACATGGGCAATGTTTGGGGACGAGACATGGGTATGCATGCGCGTTCATTCAGACATGCGCGTTCATTCAGACATGCACGTTCATTCAGACATGCGCGTTCATTCAGACATGCGCGTTCATTCAGACATGCGCGTTCATTCAGACATGTGCGTTCATTCAGACATGCACATTCACGCAGACATGCGCATTCACTCAGACATGCGCGTTCACTCAGACATGCACGTTCACTCAGACATGCGCGTTCACTCAGACATGCGCGTTCACTCAGACATGCGCACGTGCAGGAAAGAACACATCACTGGCGCTGGTGGGGGATGGACAGGGATATTGGTGGGTGCTATTTGCACTTTTGAGGCGCCTCAAGAATTGCTATTGGCACATGGGTGCGTGCGTTTGGCACATGGGGTGTGTGCGTTTGGCACATGGGTGTGTGCGTTTGGCACATGGGTGCGTGCGTTTTGCACATGGGTGCGTGCGTTTTGCACATGGGTGCATGCGTTTTACACATACTGGTGGTGCTATTCGCATGTGGGTGCGCTTGGCTCATGGGGGGGGCCATGGCTCATGTGGGCCATGGCTCATGTGGGCCATGGCTCATGGGGGCCATATGGTCGCTATCGGAAGATCCGACAAGGTACGTGATATTGCATGCATGACCAAGCACGTGCACACATACATGACCTCACTCATACCTTAAACGCCACACCTCAAACTCCATCCTCACCGATCTCCACCCATCCTTACCACTCTCCACCCATCCTCACCGATCTCCACCCATCCTCACCGATCTCCACCCACCCTCACTCACCTGTGCAGTAAACCAGTTTTAACATGGGACCTTCAGTTGGTATATGTTGGTATACCTGTTCTGAAGACCAAAGAAGGGTCAGGGTGAGCGAGAGTGAACACGCCCTGAGACCACGAAGGCGGTTGCACCACTGATGCTAGCGGTGACTTCTTGGGTGACTGGTTGGATGGTTGGAAAAGTGGTTGCAGGGAGAAGGACCCAGCAACCCACCTGAATTGTTGACAGGGAGGTGGGATGGGGGGTGAGGGAGGAGTGCGGGAGAGGAGAGAGAGGAGGGAGAGAGAAAAGGCATTTGAGTCGACTCGAAAGCAGGGTGGTTGCAGGGGAAAGGACCAGGCCTCCCACCTAATGTGTTGAGATGGCGGGTGGGATGGGGGGCGGGAAACCCGGGGGTGGGAATAAGGGAAAGAGGGGAGGGAGAGAGAAACAGAACGGTGGTGACGTTGCTCGTGGTGATGAAAGCAACAAACCGGCCAGGGACGGGGAAAGAGGATTGGAAGAGGCAGCACGAAGAGGACTCCAACAGCCGGATTTGGATGGCATGGCTTGGATGGCCGGACTTGGATGGCCTGACTTGGATGGCCTGACTTGGATGGCCTGACTTGGATGGCCTGACTTGGATGGCCTGACTTGGATGGCCTGACTTGGATGGCCTGACTTGGATGGCCTGACTTGGATGGCCTGACTTGGATGGCCTGACTTGGATGGCCTGACTTGGATGGCCCGACTTGGATGGCCTGACTTGGATGGCCTGACTTGGATGGCCTGACTTGGATGGCCTGACTTGGATGGCCTGACTTGGATGGCCTGACTTGGATGGCCTAACTTGGATGGCCTGACTTGGATGGCCTGACTTGGATGGCCTGACTTGGATGGCCTGACTTGGATGGCCTGACTTGGATGGCCTGACTTGGATGGCCTGACTTGGATGGCCTGACTTGGATGGCCTAACTTGGATGGCCTGACTTGGATGGCCTGACTTGGATGGCCTGACTTGGATGGCCTGACTTGGATGGCCTGACTTGGATGGCCTGACTTGGATGGCCTGACTTGGATGGCCTGACTTTAAAGTAGCGAGTTTATAACCTAAAAAGCCAAGCATTTTCAAGGTCTTTTGTCCCTGTCCAAGGAGGGCGCTAAATGCTTTGGAAATTCTGTATTAGTCAGATCGAACACAGCTCAGCCACCTGCCTAAATCTTCTGGACATCCGATCAAGTTGGGAGCTTTGACTGATCTACAACCGTGATTTGTTTGAATCACATAGCTAACATCCACCTCCCTGCATCCTTCTTCCGCCTCTCATTGCTCAAGGAAACAGCATTGAAAGACCTCGAGTGCTTGAGAGGCTGCCGAAGCGTTGCTCAAACACTCAAGCACTTTCAATACTTTTTTCCTGAGCAAAGTGAACCGGAAGAAAAACGACAGGGAGGGGGTGATAGCTATGTGATGGCAAGCCCAAAAACAACTCATGGAGAAGGCGTAGCGTAGACCATCCTCTATGATCTCTGACGACCTTGAGCAAGATCTGATTTCCGATTTGAAGGGAAAACAACAGAGTAAACTCTGCGTCAGGTATGCCTGATCTACACCTGGTGTTGCTGCTGAGAAAACCCTACGAATAATGGATCATCTCTTTGAGTGGGGATTCACAACCTATTTTGCTGTGATTGAAGCCTCACCCTGAGGTGCCGAGATAGATGTACTCCGTGCCAGGTACGCCTGATCCACACCTGTTGGGTAAGGGATTGGAAAGGGAATGGGAGAGGGCGGAAAAGGGGAAGTTGGAAAAGGATGTGTGATGTGGGGGTCAACTCTTTAGATTCTGCGAGATTAGGATTTAAGCTAACCAAAACATACAATCTAAACCACAACCAGAGGTACTACTTACAACAAAGTTCAAATCTGCCCCAAAAGCACTGTAAGACCCTGTATCCAAAAACGAAGTGCCCAGCGGTACAGGTACTAATTACCCGACAGCAGACGCTCCCAGGTCTCCACACGAGTGAAACACAGGAATGCCCGCCAGGTGGCGCGCTCCCATTAGCTCCGCTGCTTCCACGGATAAGGTGCCTGTTGAAGCCACGTCAGCAGAGGCAGGATCTAAGCGTTGGTTCAGGTTTTGAAAATCAAATGCGGGTACAGACACATGTCACAACTGGATATTTGATGCTCTATTGCTTGGGGGATTGTTGAATGGCAGCGGCACAATAGTGGGTGGCACACTGACCGCATGGTCGGGTCAGGTGGGCGGCAAACTGACCGCATGGTCGGGTGGGCGGCAGAATCTCAGGGAGGAGAGGCAGCCATTGGGAGAGGCCCAGTGAGTGCAGCAGGTCGGCAGCATATGAGATGCCTGCGGGAGAGAGGAAGAGGGGAGACAGCAGAATATTATATTGTACTTTTGAGTCGACCGGAAATTAGTAGATAGCAGATAGCAGATACTAATGGCAAGCAGTACCTTGCTTGCTACTACAGCAGGATGATTTCCTGTGGAGTATCCATAGCAGGGAGTATCCATACTAATGGCAAGCAAGGTACTGCTACTGCTGTTACAGACCGTGCAATGACACGTGGCAGCGGAACTTTGGTTTTTGTGGCATGTGGCATTATACCAGTGGTGGATGGACACGTGGCAAGGCCTGTGGTGGAGAGTGTGGTGCAGTCCACAACTCGAGCGGGCCGACCAATCAGGTGGCTGCACACGTAGGCATGGCTGGGACGGCAGGGAGTGGGGGGGGGGGTGGGTGGGGAAGTAGGGTGGTGTGGTGGTAGAAGAGAAAGAGAAGGGTGAGAAACGTCAAGCATCAAAGGGAATGCTTGAGTTCAAAGTACACATTGGATAATTTCAAAAGTACTGACACGGTTTCAGAGCACAGCACAACAGAGGTCAACAGAGGTCAACAGAGCAGATAATGCTCAATATGGCCAAAACTCTGTCTCAAACCGAGCTTCACGCACGCGCCGAGAAGCAGTGAGGAAGATTCCTTCAGCGTTTGTGGTCGGTGACGCTGCAGCCACAGGAGCTTCGCCAGCACGCTGCGGGGTACAGCGGGGTGGGGTGGGGGGAGGGTGGTGGGGTGGGGGGCGGGTGGGGGGCGGGGAATGGAGCAGTGGGGGACGGATGGAGCAAGGTGAGCTGGCAAAAAGGGCAGAGCGTGGGGGGAGGGTGGGGGGCGGGTTGACTTTTGAGTCGACTCAAAAGTCAACTGAGCTGGCAGAATGGGCACAGCGTGGGGGAGGGTGGGGGGCGGGTGGGGAGGAGAGTGGGGAGGAGGGTGGAGGTTTGGGGTTTGAGTAGAAAACCGGTCAGTGCTGCTGCAGCCAAAGGAGCTTCACCAGCACGCTGTGGGGTACAGCGGGGTGGGGTGGGGTGGGGTGGGGTGAAGGTGGGGAGGAGGGTGGGGGGCGGGGAAGGGAGTAGTGGGTGACGGATGGAGCAAGAAGAGATGGCAGAATGGGCAGAGCGTGGATTGGGTTTTGAGTCAGGCAAAAGCCTGCTTGCTGCAGCTAAAGGAGCTTCGTCGGCATGCTGAGGGGTACGGTGGGTGGGGTGGGGTGGGGGGAGGGTGGGGAGGAGGGTGGGGAGGAGGGTGGGGAGGAGTGTGGGGAGGAGGGTGAGGTTTTGGGGTCAAGTAAAACACTGGTCAGTGCCGCTTCGCCAGCAAGCTGAGGGGTACGACAGTGTGGGATGGGGGGAGAGGAAGAGAAAGCTTGGGAGGTGACCAAGGCGCATGTTTTAAGCATCCATGTATACTCCAATCCAAGACATGCCACCCTGCATCTGCTTGCAATCAGAATCAGGTGGCTTTTGAGTCGACTCAAGAGTCACCTTGGGAGGTGACCAAGGCGCATGTTTTATGCATGCCTGCATGCATGCTCCAAGACATGCCATTCTACATCCGCTTGCATGCAGAATCATTCATGCCTGATGCCTGCTGGCCTCTGTGCATTGGTATGTGTGCCGCACACCTGGTGGCTTGTGTGCCGCCCTATGGTGACGTGTGTGGCGCGAGTGCCGCCCACCTGGTGCCATGTGTGCCGCCCACCTGGTGGGGCCTTGTCTCATCCCGGTGGCTGCAATGATTGCTTCTTCGCCTCCTGCCAGCATTGCCATCTGCATTCAATCCAACACACACATGTGCACATGCACATGCACATGCACATGCACACGCACATGCACATGCACATGGACATGCATATGCACATACAGACACACACAGGCACACACTCGCATGCACAAACACGGCAAGTATTTAACCCCATTCACACATTACCAGCTACGCTGTCCCTCCTCATCTCCCTAGTTCCCCTCACCCCCCCACCTCTCCTACCTCTCAACAGTGGGTCAGACTGGCAGGGGGAGTAATTAATAATGATTCATAACAGGACAACTACATTCTTCTTTCGAGAGATAACATTAGCAAGGGTTGAGTATCCCTCTCACTCGCCCCCTCCTCACCCCCACAGTTTCCTCACCTCCCTCGCTTCAACAGTCGCACGCGCATCAGAGTAAAGAATGGCAGGGGAGACGGCAGTGCAGCTGTTAGGCGACCAATCCTGGAGGGACACGTGGACACGTTGGAGCGTGCAGTAGCGTGCACGATGGGGGGAAGGGGTTGGGGAGGGGAGGGGAGGAGGAGGAGGGGGTGGAGTAGAGTTAACAGGAGGGCGAAAGACCAAAGCAGGTGTCATTCTAAGGCTGGGAGGTAATATGTGAGGAAGGTGACACCTTAAGAAGGTGGTGTCTCGAGAAGGTGGTACAGTGGGAAGGTGGTACCTGAGAAGGTGATATCCTGGGAAGGTAATTTCCTGGGAAGGTGGTATCATGGGAAGGTGGTACCTGGGGAAGGTGGTAACTGGGGAAGGTGGTGGTACCTGGGGAAGGTGGTGGTACCTGGGGAAGGTGATAATTGGGGAAGGTGGTACCTGGGGAAGCAGGATGACGTCTTGCATCTGACCGGTCACCGCAACACCTACCACCCTCACCGCACTCAAACGTTCGCCACTCACTCCGCCCCGCTCCCCTTCCCCACCCGCACTGCTCCCCTTTTTCCGCCCATCCATGCTCCCCTTCCGCCCATCCAAGTTCCCCCTCCACCCCTTTGTGCTGCTCCCCCCCTTCCGCCCATCCAGTTGCGCCAGGCACTCCCCAGCTGCGCCCGCCGCCGCTCTCCACCAATCAGACGGCTCCTGCTCCGCCGTCTGCCGCGCCTGCGCCACGTCATCATCCGCGCCACGTGGCGGAGCGTGCGGCCAGAACGCAGAAGCCACGACAGCGCCATGCCACGTCACCACAGCCGCCTTGGTCCCGCCCGTGCCCACGTCTATCGCCAGAACCGCCTCCTCCGCTTCGCGTTTAAGAGCATCCCGTTTTAAAGACGTCTCTAACTTAGTGCTACCCCCTCCCGTTTCCGCGTCTGTCAGGCCTATCGTTCGGCCCGCCTCCTCCTCGTCCACCGTAGCTCCCCTAAACTTATCATTCGTTCGCGACTCGGACTTAAGCGACGCCGCGGCTTCATGAGCAAACCGCTTTCTTCCCGTCTTGTCGTATAGGCCGTCCAATCCAGGCGTGACACGGTGGATTTGGCCGGTGCTCGCGCTGTGCCTGTACCCGCCGTGGTTCCCGCCGGTGTTACCAGCAGTACTGATACCGATACAAGCATGAGCATTGAATCTACCTCCCCCATGTAAGCCCTTATAGCCAACGCCTTCACCGGCTGATAGACTCCTGCGCGACAATATTAACTTCCGCCCTACTCTCTTCGAGTCGACATGGCAACAGTGGGTTGGATGGGAGAGAGCGACGGCTGGAGGTGAGCATTTTTTCGGAGCAGCTACTAGCGTGGACGGCAGCATCGACGGTGTGTGAGCGTCCGAGTCGCGCGCATGGAACGTATGTGACTCTTAGAATTAGCGAAGCGGAGGTTGCATGAGCGGGATTGATAATCAATTCGAGATGGCTCATCATGCGTCCACTTCAAAAGCTGCATCGGTTCTCTACATGGAAACGAATGAGAATCCATGTGAAACATTTATTTCTGCTGCTCTTTGACTTGTGTTCCACGATAATGTAGACATTGTGTATCCTTCTGTTGTCTAGCTATAATTTGTGTATCTTTACAAGCTCAAGTTTTTTCCCTGAAAAAAAATGTATACATTGGCATGAGAGACTACCTGTTTTTCTTGGTTAGCATATGTTAATTGTGATGTTAAGTACAGTGCCCTTAACTTCATTCATTGTATTGGAAGTTCATATATTCACAGCTTCGTTATTGATTAAATTAACGCACTTCTTACAGCTTGAAACAATTCCGTTTTGGTTGGTGAGGGAACAGTCCTCAGGCAGTTGTATCGTCTTCTGTGACCGGATGCATTGCTCCCCCCCTCCCCAGCCTGAGCGGTTTTCGCCGCCACACCCTTGCGTTGCGACATGCCCATCCGCCCACCCACCCACTTCCCCTCCAGCTCTGTCTTCGGTTCGTGCGTCATCGTGTGGCTAGCTCCAACCCACAAATCAAAACCGTCGAAAGGATGGAAGAGTACAGAAAAGATTTTCGATGTGCGCTTCGCAGCAGACTATCTCCCTGGAAAACAGGTTGATCAACCACCTGCGCCGAGAAACCTACGGCTCCTATACTTCTCCGTTTTCTCAAAGCAGTGAGTGTCACTTCTCTTTTTCCACATGATGTTTACTATAAGTTTCTATGGGAGCGCCTCGTTAGGCTGTGGCTTTGTGTCGTCCTTAAGAAGTTTTTCCGCACTCAATAGCTCATGCTTCAAATATGCAACGCGCCCTGGCATCTGAAGATGTTTGAACAGACAAGCCAGATCATTTTTGTTTTGTAGCAGGTTCCAGCAAAGTGGCACCTGAAGGGTCAGGAGGTTTCTACGACTCTCGCAAAAAGCTAATGTTTTCGCAAATTTACTGGTGACGAACCATGATCCATGATGTGCCTCCCTCATCATGCACCTCCTTCCTGACCAGAAAGTCGCCCTGCGTTGGCCTGCCGACATGTCCAAGCCAATCACATCCCTTGAGACAGGCCCATCTCGCCCGTTTTCACAAACGCATCCTCATCCATGCGTCCTCCTCCGACCATCAACCACTGTGACAGTAATTTTTTCAGGGGCATTTTCAGGCAGTCTGAGCTCTGCGCTTCCAGCAAAAGAGACACCTTCCTCCGCAAACTCTTCACCCAAGTCCCAACCATCCAAGCATTCGAGCTATTTGCCGGCCAAAGTGGGAGCCTTGTCTCTCTGCGATTAACACTAGCAGAGTGCACAAACAGCAGTGAGCATCACAGTACTTCCACAACCTGACCATTTTCCCGTGGAGCCGTACTAACCCAATTTTTTCATTCTTTTTCCCGTAATATGTAGAAAGTTCTCCTAGTCCGTAACAGCGCGAAATAATACCAGCCAGGCAAACACACGCTATGGCCGTCCCATCGCAGCGTACGCTGCGCGTCGTCTGCATTTTACTCCTCATCGTCCTCCCCTGCCTCGTCGAGGCCAAGCGGAAAAAAAAGAAGGGAGACACGCCACCCCTGCCGTCCGTCCGCTTCTACAAATCTACAGTTAAAGTCTCTTACGCGGGAGTAGCGAAAATTACCGCCACGGCCGCGCAAGGCGCGGGGGTTCAGAGCCGACAAGTGCTGGAGACTCCAAGAAGTCAACTCGGTAGCCGCCGTCTATTGCAGGACGACAGCATTGTGATCGATACCTCGGCTACCGACCCTTCTGCCGAGCCTGCTGAGGACGAAGGGCAGCCGGACCTGGACTTCGATCCTCGGCCGCTGCTCCCGCCCGCGGATCTGACCGGAGCCACCGCGGTTAGTATTCTCGCTCTTGGAAGGCACATATTCTCGTTCAACAAGGCAGTTTTATTTGGAAGTTTGACTTCGCAATAAGTACTGCGCGTTTGCGTGCCGTGTATGTGAATGAGTTAGTCTAGGCATAGCCACCGTGGTCATAGCGCAGCGTCCGTGTGTGCGGATCGCCTTGTCGAGTTAGTTAGCCCGGACTGTTGGCAGTTGCAATGCTGGCAGTCAGCGGTACTTACTAGTAGGCCGACGAACTCGCATTTGCAAGAAAACGTCACAGTCGCTTGTTCGCACAACTGGTTAAGGCATACAAAAGTGCTGTATCAGACTGTTACGTGACAGTCGCTTGACGACGCGCGGGATCTCGCGGAATCGCGAAATCGACGAAATTCGCGAAAGTTCGTCTAGGTAAGTTAAGTCGGCGGCTTAGAGCAGTTTTTGCGAGTCACCGTATGCGTTAGCTTAGGTGACGACAAGGGCGGCGGCACCAATGGCGGCATGATAGTAGGAACGCCTTGCAATTTTTACCCGGAGCTCTGCATAACACTTCCGAGACAGTCTATTGCTGTGTCAGGGCGATGGTCACGGTCGCAACAAGAATGCTCCCATGTCGTCCGCGCCGCTCTTTACAATACCGGAGCGGCTTCTCTGAGTCGGAGTAGGACGCACCGAGGGGCCCACATATGAGGCGTTTCCGTCTCGCGCGCTCATCCCCCCCCCCCCTCTGCCCTCTTTCCCTCCTCCCTACCGGGGTTTCCTCTCCATTTCTCCCTCGCGCGCGTGTGTACGCGTTACAGGACCTCGCGGCGGCTAAGAAGAGAAAGCCCAATGCGTTTCTATCACTGACGGTCTTAAAACTTGTCTCTCCATTTCTCCCGGGCGCGTTTGTACTCATAACAGGACCTCGCGGCGGCCAAGAAGAGGAAGCCCAAGACGTTTCTATCGCTGACGGCCGCCAGCTTCTCGCCGTCAGTTCTCAAGAGCGGCGTCTCCGCCTATCAGACGGCCTCCACGGGCACCGCCGCATACGCCGGCACGCACGGCGACTCGACCGTGCCTGACCCATCCGTGTGCGCCGGCAGCAACTACGTCGTGCAAGTCGTCAACTGGGGTAGGCTCAACCGCACGCACTTTCCTGTTCCTCACTTCCTCCTCTCTCTCTTCTCTCTCTTACCGTTTCACACTCGTCTTGCAGTCAACGAGTTCCTTGCGATCTCGGTACTCAACGCGCCCTCTCCTCCCCGCCTCTCTCGCGTTTCCCCATTCCCTCTCATCCCCCTCCCTTCTCTTCCTCTACGCAGCTATCGTGGTGTTCGACGGCAGAGGCCAGGCGCTCACGGCGCCGGTGGCGCTGAACGAGTTTCTGGGCGTGAATCCGTATCGCGGCAGCGGCACGGTGGGCGATCTCGTGACCAAGGCGTCGTGCGTCTACGACTCGGCGACCAAGCGATTCTTCCTCTCCGCCGCATGGCTGGTACGGGTGGTGTTTGAGTCACATTCTTGGTTTCTCTTTGTCTTCGGGTTCACATTCGGGTTGTGTTCTTTGCTGCCCTAGATCTCCCCCGCACACATTATTCCCCCCCACCCCCTCCTCTCTCCGCTCGCCTCCCATCTTTCCCACCCCCCATCCCAACTGTTCTCAACTCTTTATCTCTACCCGCACTTCCCCCCTCCTCTCTTCCTCCCCACTCAGGCCGGTAACTCGAACGCGTACGACAAGTTCGGCCAGACGCGCAAGGACAACAAGGGCGTCTCGCGCGGCTCGGGCATCGTGCTCGCCGTCTCTGCCGCGGAGAAGCCGCTCGACGCGTGGAGCGTCTATTTCGTCGGAACCACTAACGACGGAACCAACGGCCCGGATGATCACCTGGCGCCGCTCGCGTATTCCGGCGAGCTGTTCTACAACACGTACCCGCGGCTCGGGGTGGACGCGAACGGAGTGTATGTGACGACGCAGCAGGCGACGTACTCGAATGTGGACGACGTGTGGCAGGGCAGCAACATCTTGTAAGTCGCCTCGGTCATATTCGAATGTGAACGGCTGTTGCTGTTGCCTCGGTGTTCCTCTGTGTGTGTGTGAGTCTGCGTGCGCGGTTGTGTCTGTTGCTGTGCGTGCGTGCGTGCGTGCGTGTGTGTGTTTGTGTGTGTGTGTGCCCTCGTGTTCGTTCGAGCGTTGCACTCTTTCCCCTCTTCTTTCCCTCGCCTTTGCCCCATCCTCACCCCACCCCCGCCCTCTTTGAATCACCCCCCTGGTCCCTCCCTCCAACAGTGCATTCAGCAAGGCCGCTCTCCTCAAGCAAGCGGACATCACAGCCGTCCGATTCGCGCTCCCGCGCATGTCCCGCACGGATCAAACGGTCCTCCAGTACTGGACCATCGAGCCCGCCGCGTCCCCCGCGGACGGCAAGTACGACCTAACCAACAAGGGCACCATGTGGTTCGGAGCCTACGACGTCTCCTGGGCCATGTCCGGCCACTCAGCAGTCTTCGCCTTCGCGCTCACCAATACCGTCTCTCTCTCAGCCAACAACCCCACCCTCACGCTGCTCACTGCGATCGCCAACTGCTCGTTCTACTACGACTGGTCGAGTTCCCAGCAAAAGCCTGGGCTCGCGCCGCTCGCCGAATCCTACAACAAGGATACGCCGCTGATCGTCCCTCCCCGGAGCACGTCGGTGGCGCTATCAACCGGATTTCTGTGGATGGTGGTGCCGACCGGGACGACCATTTCGCCAAATTCCGAGGCTGGGTTCATGCTGGTGAAGATGAAGGCCACGGTTGCCAAGGGCCCCTCGCCCGCGCTGACGCTCGCGGTGGCTAGCGCGATGATCTACAACGTCCCCATGAACAACCTCATTGCTCCCACCATTGCCTTCAACAAGTGAGTCGCGTGTGTTCTGTCGTGTGCGTGACGATGCTGTGTCCATCATGTCACGTGTGTTGCGCGCCGGTGCCGATGCTCGCGGTGGCGAGCGCTATGATCTACAACGTGCCCATGGCCAACTTGATCGCTCCCACCATTGGCTTCAACAAGTGAGTCGCGTACGATGATATTGAGACGGGCTGCATGTGCTGCTGAGGCGCCTCAAGGCTTTGCGAGTCGAGTTGCATGCGTTCCGCTGTGTGCGATGACTTGAGCTGCGGGTGTTGCGCTGTGTGCGATGACTTGAGCTGCGGGTGTTGCGCTGTGTGCGATGACTTGGGCTGCTGTGGTTGCGCTGTGTGCGATGACTTGAGCTGCTGGTGTTGCGCTGTGTGCGATGACTTGAGCTGCAGCAGTCGCGCCGCGATCCCCTGACCGTGTTCTCTTCTCCGCTTGTCTCTCCCCCCCCGCCAGGCTAGGCAAGGGCATCATACTGGCGACGCTCGTTAGCCCCAACAGCTACCCCACTGTGGGCTTTGTGCGCGTCACCAAGGCAGGAATCAACCCAAAGGACCTCAAGTTCTACACCGTTGTGCAGAGCTCTGCACCGCTTGACGTTGACTCGCCAAGTGAGTTTCCAGTGTGCTTCACCAAGACAGCACTAGCAAGGCGTTCAGGCTGAGTGTCCAGTCCTTCCAGGCTGCACCTCTTGACGTCGTCTCACAATCTGTCTGTTGAGACAACTGCCACACTCTCTGCTGTCTGTACCCTCCACACTCTCCACAATCTCTCTATCACTGCTTTCTGATCCTTCTCGTCCTGCTTTCCTATCCCCATCACCAATCCCCTATCCCCCGCCCCATATCCGTTCATCCTCATCCCTTTACCCGTATAACCAGGCTACTCGGCAAAGAGCACGGACACGGTGGCATTCGTCCGCTATGGCACTACACAGCTGCCGGCACAAGAATCTGGAGATTCCTATCTTTCACTAATTTCCGTTTGCCCTTGTGTTGCTTCCCGTCCCCTTCCCCACCTTCCCCCAGGCTACTCGACAAAGAGCACGGACGCGGTAGCGTTCGTCCGCTACGGCACCACACAGGCGCTGGCAGTGGACGCCACGGGCACCGTGTGGGCGGCAGGGCAGTACGCTACAGAGGAGCGCACCACCCGCAACAACTGGGCGACCAGCCTCTTCTCCGTCACCCCTTGAAACGAATTGTCCATACTTCGTCTCTTCATTTCTGCAAAGCGACTGGTTGGAGGAGAGATTAGGGTATGGGGCTGTACTGACTGATTTTACTCGGGGGAGTGGTATTTGGAAGGCCGCAGTGTGGTGGTGAGGGTGGAATGAAGGCATGCTGTGTGTGTGGCTTGGGTGGGAAGCTTTCTGTTGTTTTGTGAGGGTGTGCTGTGCTTTCATGCGTTGGGTGGCTCCTACTCCCACGCATAGCTCATTGTATTCTGGAAAGACTGTATTTCCCTTCAAAGGGTTGTAATGTAGGGATCATTGTGGAATAATCATTTTTTTGTGTAACTTGGTGGAAACCGTTTGTGACATTTGGTTATGGGATGTGCTTGTATGTGGATAGAAGTATGGGGTTGTGCATGAACTCGAAAATGCTCAAACATACAGTAACGCACACCGAGGAGTGGACTCTTGTTTAGAAATGTTGAGCATTAGGAACGGTCCTTCCCTAAAACCACTTTATGCATGATTTCCTTCAGAAGGTGCCGTTTTCAATACCTGTTAGACGGTAGGTTTATAGGCATGTAGCTCATCTTGCTCGATGCATTCCTTAATATATCGGGGTTTCAAGTTGCCTGGTAATATCCCCCAACGAGCACGTCCCAGCCGTTCACAAGATTGTCCCTGACTCCCAGCCCCTGACCGTAATGGCCTCTGTTGTTTCTGCGTGGGCCAAGAGGGTCTTGGCAACCTGGCTCACGTGGATCCATGAGACTCCAGACTGGCTGCGTTCGAGAGTTGGGGGTTGCTGTCTTTTCGCTCGAGACGAGAGCAACAATGAAGGCGTCTCGCTGTTGCCGACAACTTCGCCACACGGGCTCCCTCCAATCAAACCCACCACCATGTCTGCGCGACAACTTTCACCACCGCCCAGCCGCTTGCGAAAGTTTCCCGTACTGTAACTCAATTTGAGCTTCAGCTTAATTTGACACCAGTTTTCTCGCCAACGTTCCGAGGAGCAGCCAACAGCGGAGGGAGGATAAAAAAAAATTGCTAGCGGGGACAATCCAGGCCTCTTCTGCTATCGACCCAGTAAAACTCGAGGCAGTGAAAATTATGGCAGCATAGAACAAAAACTAGCCAGGAACTGCCACGTATTCTCGAATCTCGAGGCATGAGTGAGGAGGTGCGAGCAGGGGTGGAGCTATTGACTGCTGGCTTCTGCCCTCGAAAGTGTGAGAAATATGCGACAAGCTGTTTGATGGCTTGTTGGGTACGATACTACAGTTGGGGTCTGAACGAGGCCGTCCCCGGAATGAGGAGGATCGCAGGAACCAAGCCGTAAATGAGAAATCCTTCCCCTTGAAACCCCTCCGGAAGGGTTCGGGTCCCTGAAGAGGACACATCTGGCTGACTTGCCGCAAATACTCTGTCAGATGTGGCATCACTACAAGAATACCCTCGATTCGGTCAAAAAAAACTTGCTGCCCTGACCACAACCGCCCACAGCAAGGCCACAGAGTCGTGATCAACAGATTAACGATGTTCGTTCAGAGTTCGTGGCACAGTAACAGTATTCGTGAGGGTTACTGTGAGCGAACATGCGAAGAACACGTGGCAGTGGTGGTGGTGGTTGGTAAACTGCGAAGTGGGTTCAGCCTGGAAAAGGATGACCTGGGTGTTTAACGTTCGTTGCTTATGTACCGGACCCAACCAGCTTTGGTGCTAACTTGAACGTCACAGAACGTAAAGCACCTTACCAAACCAGACTCGAAGCATCAGGCGGCGCGCCATCCCGCTCCTATGCATCCCGCCCGCCCCCTCCCATCTGTTCTGCTAAATTCCCAAGCACCGATCTTCATGTTCCGAGCCAGAAAGCAGACGCGTAATAATCAAGAAAGGGAACAAAACGATGTAAACCACAGTACCTGAGGTGCCCACACGCCCGTTGCCTCAAGTCTTTCATATGTTCCCCGTAGCCTTGATTTTCCGAGAGAAGAGAGAAAGATTGCGCGGGAATCTCCTGAATGATTTCGTAATGCTAGTCAAGCCTTCACTTGAAGCGGTAGTCCGTCGGCGTCTACGACTACTCGAGTCTCTGCTCTCAGTTTATTATTCTCCGTAACAGGGCCTCGACTGAACAGGCAAGCTGTGTGTATATCCGTGCAGTGCAAGAGACACAGATACAGCAAGAACTTCGCAAGTAGTCGGAATATTCTCAGTATCGACGATAGGTCAGAACCAGGTGGCGTGACCCAGTAAGCATACACAACGGCGACGGCTATCGCGTACAGGATGGGGTCGGCGGACGCATGGCTGGAGTCGCCGGTGGGTCCGGGCGATATCGTGTCGCGCAGCCATTGGATGCCGAACGGAGCCATCAAGCAATGCACCAACCCTGCTTGCAACCGCGAGTTCAGCCGGAAAGAGCGAAAGTAGGTCGTAAGTAGGGCATATGTAGTAGGCGATAATCGTGATCGATAGGTCCTAATGAGTGATCGCTGCCGTGATTCATCCCCCCCGGGAGATTCTCTAAAATCGCTTGTATCGCCTTTACTCGAGCATGAGCACGGTCAAGTTATTGTTTTTTTCGTTCCTCACTGAAAACCGTGTCGTGTGCCATTGCAACGAGGTGACATTTGAGTCGACAAGTCACCCCTTAACTCGATCATGAGCACGGTCAAAATACTGTTTCGTTCGTTTCTCAATGAAAACCCGTCCACTCAACCCCTGTCTTTCCCCCCGTTGGTTTCACAGGCACCATTGCAGGTGCTGCGGGAACGTGTACTGTATCGAGTGCACCCAGTGCATTTTGCCGCTCAACCCTATCACCGCCATGGTACGTTCCACGTACGGTCCGATTCGCGTCTCTCGTGGCACTTTGCGAGTGAACACTGCGACGCCGGCAAGTTTCGTCAACACTCTTGCGAAAGTCTCTTACCTCCGCTTTTCGTGAAACGGTATTGTTTATCATCCAAACCACGTGCGTTTTGTTATTTTGCTTTTAATTTCTCGGTATTTTCGTTTCTTGCAGATCGAGGAAGGAGGAGAACCATCGAAAGCCTGCGTTTTGTGTTTCGAGGTAACTCCGCAATATGATCTTAGCCTGTTGATCAGGCCCTTTTCTTCGTCCCCTTTCTTGCCTTTCCCCGCGTGCCCTTGCCCGCTGTTCCACCCCTCGTTTGTAGCACAATTTAACCCTGCTCTTCGTTGATAGCCTACGCCACTTCGTTGCAAGCACTCTCACGGCTATCGCTTCGTTTCCTCCGTGTCCGCAGCGAGCGGTCGAAGAGGGTTACCCGTTGGGTCGCTTTCTTCACAACGGCTCCTCTGACTCGCTGGTCTCTGTCGCCGATGGCGACGATAACGACGGCGACGGCGATAACGACGAGGTCGACAATGAGGAGGAGGATGACAGTGACAACGGTCGCCATCGTAGGCACTATGCTGATGACGACGATGACAGCTATACTCGTTATGATAATCATCGTGACGATTATGGCGGTGCGGTCCCCGACGCGGATAACGCGGAGGATTTCGCGTCGGATAGACGACACGAGGCGATGCCAACTCATGCGATTCGCAGCCTCGGTAATCCCGAGGGCGCGGGCGTCAGCAGAGCACGAAACGATCACTTGTGCGACGGCGGCAGCGGTCGCAGCTGGAGTGGCGAAAACTGGCGAAGCAGCGGCGACAGGGACGTGCCCGGAAGCAGCAGAAACGGCGGTAGCAGGATTTACGGAAGTAGCAGGGAGCATCCGACACGGGATGTCAGCCCGCGCGACAACACCGGGAATTCGGGAGGCATGGTTTTTGACAAGTGTAGGAGCTTGGATCACAGAGATAAGGCAGCTGCACGAGCCTACACGCGGTTTTCGGGCAAAAGCGAGCGGAGCAGCAGCGACAGAAGCGGCCGGGATATCCCTCCGCGCGGCGGCATGGATAGTGCTCATAGTGCCCATAGTGCTCATAGCGCGTATAGTGTTAGCGAGAAGCTGAGGATGGAACAAAGCGGTTCCAAAGTGTATAGAAAAACCAATACTATCGGGAGTGCTTGCAACGGGGACGACAGGCCTGAGAGCAGCTACAGCAGCAATAATCCGTCGTCTCCTATTGACTCTACATACAACAGAAGCAGAACCCTAGATGCTATTGATAGGTCAGCCACCGCCGCCAGGCGACCCCCTTCTAGTAGCAGGCCAATTAGTCTATTAGCGAGTAGTTTACTGGCGAATAGTTCCCATAGTTCACAACGTGCCAGCAGCGGTGGTGATAGTGTCAACAGGAGCTGGAACGAGGCTCAAGGCGGGGGTGGGGGATTCGATGCCGAGTTTGGAAAGAGCAGAACGCTTGATAGCAGCGACAAGGACGCTATAAGGCGTACATACTGTAACGCTGGTGCTGCTAACAGGGCTACCGGCGCTACTGGAGCCGCTGCTGCTGCTGCTCCATCCGCTGCTGCTGCTGGCACTGCCTCTGGTGTACCAGTGCCGCCCACTGGCAAGGCGCGCAGGCGAGTGACGTCAGCCTATCGGCACCTGTCCATGGATCTAACGGACAAATTCGGCGACCTCTCGTCGCTGCTAGTAGAGCCGTCGGATCCGAACCACCTATCGCTGCTCTCCACTGGTGGTGGCCCAGGCGCTTCTGGTGGGTATGAGAGGCATGAGTCGAGTCAGAGGGCTGCTGCTGCTGGTTCTTCTCCTCCTCTTGGGCTTTCCGCTGCTTCTGCTGCTGGTGCTTCTGGTGCTGGTGGTGCTGGTGGTGCGCGGTCAGGGCTGGGTCTGCCTCCTCGCAAGGACCCCAAGGCACGGGGATGGCAACAGCAGCAGCAGCAGCAGCAGCAGCAGCAGCAGGAGTATCAGCAGCAACAGCAGCAGATGCATCAACAAGAGCAGCACGTGTTCTCCCAGCAAAGACCACAGCAAGCATCAGCAGCAGCAGGTGCCAAAGCAGCAGCACTGCAGAGACACCATTCCATGCACCCGCTCCTAGCCCCAGGCGCATCCCTCCTCACTCCCTCAGGCCTCCGCCCGCCTCCCCCTCTCACTCCCTCTCCCGCCCCCCGCAGACACGCCCGCTCCAACAGCAGCAGCAATATCCACATCTCCATCTCCCTACCGCCCTTAACCGCTCCTGACTCCTCGCAACGCCCTGCTGCTGACTCTGCTGCCGCCTCTGCTGCTACCCTTAGATCGTCCCGCTCGTTTCATTACCAGCAAGCAGAAGCAGCATCTGCAGAGGCAGGGACAGATGGACAGGCGGAGGCTGCAGAGATAGAAGCAGCAGCAGCTGCTGCTGCAGAAGCAGCAGCGGAAAGGGCAGAGGCAGCAGCAGCAACAGCAGCTGCGGCAGCGCAAAGAGAAGCTCTGTACAAGGCGTTAGCAGCACCTTCGATGGTGAAATCACCCTCTAGTCATGCACGCGCAGCACGGGAAGGGAGTGTCAATCTAGCTGAACTGCTGACCTCCTGGGAAAATGGGGTCAGCTTTCTGGACCCAGACGTATCCCTCCGAACCCCTCGGGACCGCAAGGGCATCTCCTCGCCAAAGATTTCTGCAAACGAGTCATTATCTGACGAGGAAAAGGAAAGAGAGGGCTGTTTTGGAGGAAGTACCGAACCTGTTGCCGAGGCTGGAGGTTCGGATGGTCCGGGCCTGAAGCCTGCTCGCCTGCAGCGAGCTGCCGAGGCTAAGGCTGACGAATGGAATGAGGCTAGGCAAAGTATGGGAGGCAAAGCAGGTGATGGTGAAAGACGAATGGGTGGCATGGACGTAGCAGAGAAGGATGCGGTGCAGAGCGGTGGCAGCACAAGTGCCAGGGGCAGTGGGAGCAACTCTGGCAGCGGTGGCAGCAGCAGCAGTGGCAGCAGCAGCAGTGGCAAGAGCACATGGGCTAGGAGAAGGCCAAACCTCAGGGTTCACTGCGGCAGCAGCGGCAACTTTGCTGCGTCCCTCCCTAATTCCACCTCCGCCCTGGATGCTCCGCCGCCCCTTCCTCAACCTGCTTCAGCAGCCCCCTTCCCTCAGCCTGCTGCTGGCTTTGCTCCTACTGCTGCCACTCGTGACCTGGGTGCTGGTGCTGGTGCCTCTGCTGCTGGAGCTGCTGGTAACCGTGTTACTGCTGCTACTCGTGTTGCTTCTGGTGGTGGTGGTGCTGCTGCTGGCGCCAGCGCTAGTGCTGGGAGGTTGCAGGAGTGCAGTGCGGTGTGGAGCGGTCCGGTCAGTCTGATTGAGTGGAGCACGAGTGACGTGTGCTCGTGGCTCATCCACTCCGTTGGCTTCCCAGACGGCAGTGGGCGAGGTGAGACGCGGGATACACATTCATGCACGCCTGCACACACGCCTGCACGCACACCTGCACGCACACCTGCACGCCCGCACGCCTGCACGCCCGCACGCCTGCACGCCTGCACGCATACACCGAGCCACCTTGTCTGAAAGAGTGAAGCCCCCTTTCCTTCCCCCCCTCTTCTCCTTCTTCCCCCTTTGCCTCAGAGTATGCACGTGACTTGACGAGCATCAGGTGGATGGGCTTTCTCTCATCGGCAACACACATCTCTCTTTTTCCCCGCTCCCTTTCCTCCCTCATCTTCCTCCCTCATCTTCCTCCCTCATCTTCCTCCTCCCTCATCTCCCCCAGAGTACGCACGGGACTTTGATCAGCATCAGGTGAACGGGCTCTCTCTCATCGGAATCACGCATGTCCACCCTGCCTTCCCTCTCCCTCCTCATTCTCTCTCCCTTCCCCCCCATCCCTCTCTCCCTCTTTCCCAGAGTACGCACGGGACTTTGATCAGCATCAGGTTGACGGTCTCTCGCTGGTCGGCATCACAAACTCCCACCCGGCTCTTGCTCGCATGCGATTGGCCGATTACACCCTCTTCGAATCCCACCGCCGCCAGCTGGTAACCGCAGAGGCTGCTGCCCCTCCTGCCGCACACCACCCACCTCCACCGCTCTCAACTGTTGACTTCTCCGCATCTACCTCGTCTGCCGTAGATTCTGCTGCAGCCGCTGGTGGTGGCAGTGCGGTGCTCTGCGGCGGTGCTGTGAACGGCAAGGTTGGAGTGGGTGCAGTGCGGTGCGGCTCCGACCCCACTGTTCTCCTTCATCACTTACCCAAGCAACACTCAGTTAAAAGCCGGCATTATGACGCCTCCTCTACTGCCAACACCCCTTCAGCTCTCAGTTGCAGGTCATCACAGCCCTCCCATTCCCCCTGGTCCTCTCCCTCCTCTACCTTTATCCAACGCACCTCCAGTGGTAGTAGTTTCTGCTCCCTCCCTCCTCTCTCCTCCTCCTCGCTCAACTCTTCCTCCCACCCTTCACATTTTCCCCACTCCAGCCATCCCTTCCGCCACCGTCGCACCAGCAGCATCGGCGCCTCAATCGTATCAGATCTTCTGCAGAAAAGGACAAATACCACCGGTGGGGCAGGGGAAGGCCGGCCGGCAGCATTGCAGTCTCCTGCCGCCCGGATAAGCAGGCAGGGGAGTGGGGTGGCTGGGGCTGTGGGGGGGTGGTTTGCCGGTTGGGGAAGCAGGCAGGAAGGACAGCAGGAGGCTGAGGAAGAGAGGGAGAGGGCACGAGCTCTGGAAGAGACGGACGAGCGGAGAAGACGCAGCAAGGGAGAGGAGGGCGAGGGAGAAGAGGGAGAGGAGGGAGAGGAAGAGGGGGAAGGAGATGAGGAGGGGGAGGTGGTGGCGGCGGTGGTGGAGGAGGTGGTGTGTCTGCGAGGGGAGGTGACAGCAGCAGAGGAGAGGGAGTGCACCGTCAAAGCACAGTGAGTCGCCTCCTGCTGCAGCTGCTGCTGCTGCTGCTGCTGCTGCTTCCCTCCTCTGCCTCACTTGTTCATTTTCTTTTTTATTTCTTTCTGTTCTTTCCCTCACTCTACCCTATCTCTACTTACCCTGGCTTTCTCCCTCTTCCGTCCCCCTACCCTTTCCGCGATCAGGCTGTGTCACCTGGATGACCTCCTGAAGGAGTCTCTGCTCGTGGAGTATCTGCCCACCAGAACGGTAAGCAGCAAACAGGCGCAGATCACCCTCCTGGTCCTCTCTCTTCCCCCCCCTACTCTTTATCTTCCACTCCCTTCTCCACCTGCAAATCCCCATCAACCCTCCTCTCCCTTTCCTTCCTCCCTCCCCTCTTTCACACGTTTTCACTTCCTTCCTTCTCCCCTTTCCCCCCGCTCCCTCCTTGCGTCCCGTCCTCCCAGAAATGGGCGTCCACACCGAACGACCCAGCTACTCTCAATGGCACCACCGCCACGGAGGAGGATGAGTGGGTGCCGCGCTTCGTGACGCTCACGCCCACCGACATAGCATGCTACCTGCACGCCACCGACCTGCACCCGCAGATCACCCTCCCCGTCGCCTCCATCGCCTCCGCCGGCACCCTCCACATGGCCCCTGCACATCCGGCTGTAGCAAAGGAGACATCATCTGCTGTAGCGCCGGCTGTAGCAACGCCGTCATCACCATCGGAGGAGTGGTTTGCGTTCCACGTGACGACCAGCTACGGGTTCAAGCTGGAATGTGCCACTCGCAGCTGTGCCAAGGTGAGGCTCGTCGCGTTCTGACAGTCTTTCGTTCACCCATCTTCACCTCTCATTACCCCTCTTGCTACCCAAGCGTGCCCCTATCTAACCTCAAGCCGTTCCTCCCGTGCAACGCCTCTGTCCCTCCGTGCAGCTGCAGCTGTGGCTGGCAACAGTGCATGAGGTCATTGCCAATGCTGGCATCAACTCCAGCTTTGATGCATCTCAAACATGTCCATCTAACCACCTCTCTTTCCTGTCCTCCTGTGTCATTCTCCTTCCCTCTGTGCAGCTGCAGCTATGGCTGGCGACAGTGCATGAGGCCATTGCCAATGCTGGTATCAACTCTACCACTGTCGGCAGCACCATCCCGCTCCCTCCCCCCAACCTCACCTGCTCTTGATTTGGAGGCACTATTGGCCGGCTAAAATGAGCTGGCGATTGAGCAACAGTTGCACGGTTGTCACATCTCACAGCACCATGCTGCACCACATTGTACCACACCATGTGCACAGACACACCTAGCATCACGCCAACTGGCATGTACGGTGGCTGGGAGTCCACGACTCCAGGGCACAGCCATGCAAATAAGGGACGTGGGACATGCCCATGTGGATTGGTTTAATACATGTACAAACTTTTGATACATCCTGTTTTGAGTAATGTCCTGTTATGGAAAATGCATTCAATTTGTGAGTGCGTTTAAGAAATTGCATCACTTTGTTACTGTGTACATTATTCACCAGTTTTCACTGTGCGTTTCTACATTCGAGTGGTGGATTGCAGTGATGAGCTGTAGAGGGGTCGTGGATGGGAATGCATGAGCGAAATAGCAAATTTCGCTAGTCGCGAAAGGGTGTTGCGCATGAGTCACGAATAGCCAATCATGGTGAAGAACAAGATAGCCCTGGCTGGACCTCGAACACCAGCCGCTTCTCGGTCTCAGCACATCCACCCCACCCCCCATTTTGAGATTCATTTTTCGAGGTTCATTTTTCGACTCCCCCGTGTTCGTTGGCGGGAGATGCGTTGGGAAAAGGTCTAGCATTTGCAGCAAGGCGAGCTGGACAGAGAGGAATTCGACGACTCAGTACACGTGTCAGAACTCGGAAGGGCAGACACCTTCCGCCGCCCTCTTGGACACGTGCAGCGTGAATCGTCTGCTTGTACGGTGACATGTCCTGCAGCTGGCGTCATCGTCGTGTGAAATATTTCATGTCGCGAGTCGGGTCGATTCGTCCAATATTATTGCCGAACTGCGCGAAGGAGCTTCCAGACTAATAGCGGATAAAAGAGCGCGGCTGGGAGTCAACTTGTGACGAGCTGTTCAGTGCGGAAGTGGTCTCCGAAACTTCGCTACAACGTCACTGCATCATGTTGCTGACCCAAAATAGTATTTTGGCCACGTTTGCCAATTCATCTTTCGCGAAAACGTCACCGACAAGCACGCCAGTTACGCGTCGCTTCCAGTCGAGTCAGGTCAGGACGAACGCGCCGACCCCGCCCTTAGGAAACCTTGTTTCGCTCACGCTCAAATCCAACCCTCGATTCCTCCGTTCTTGTTGGCGGGAGATGCGTTGGGAGCTGCTCTCCACTAAGCTTAAGTCTCGCACCTAGGCGAGTTTTTGAACTGAGAGGAATCCGACGACTCAGAACCCGGAACCCGGAAAGCCAGACACCTTTCCATTTGTCCTCCGTCCCGCGGCCCGCTTGCCAAGCGGACTGTGCAGCGCGATTCGGAATCGTCCGTGCTTGTGCATGTGCTGGTAGGGCTGTAACAAGATGGGAATCGCCATAGCTCCTGCTTCACATGCCTTTCTCCTGGCACCATCTCGTCATCAGGTGAAAGATTTTCATCATGCGACTCAGGCACGACGACGTCCCGCTCCAAGATTTGTCACCGAACTGCTCTAAAGCGCCTCACCGCGCATAAGTAGCAACGAACTTAGCTGTTGTTGATCATCGCGTTATCTAGTCCCGCATCTTTGCTCGCTTTTGAAACCTGCATGTTATTACGGCTGTGATTTCAACGGCTCGTCTCGCCGTCATCTCTTGTCATGGAGCGGGCTGTGCTTTGCTGGGTATTAATACGTGAGCGCCCGCACTGACGCCCTTTCGCAAGTGCATCCGATGCACGGCTCTGCCGCCTTCTGATTAAAGCTCGTCTTGGGTGGTGCCTTTGTGCAGTTGTAACACTTGTCACAGGGTGTACAGCGACTGCAACGTCATCACTCCCAACGACCCCCACAGCATCACCACCTTCAGCGTCCCTCGCAGCCTTCCTCCCCGCCGCCGGCGGACGGCTGCCTGTCACTTCCTCCACTCACGCCACTCCGTTGGTGAAGGGAAAGGTCTTTCGTAAGTGCTTCCTTCGGTTTGGTGTTTCTCCGATTCTAGAGGCGTCTCAAAACTTGCAAACCGAGCAATGATTTCCATAAAAGTTTTACCTTCCAACATCAAGGTGTCGGGCTGCGCTCCGTTTGTTGCTCCGTTTAACAGGCTGTTACTGCTCCACCGGTTGCCTAAAGTTGTACTATCTTTCCACTACAAAATGTTTGGTTCCCTCACGCACATTTTAATGCGCCTACTAACCCCCTTGGACCATTCATCCAAGATCCAGAAACGGAAACAACTTCAAGTATTTTTTCAGTTACCTTTTCCTTTATGCCTGCCCTGCCCTCCTTTTCCAGTGCGCTATGTGGCCAGGCTCACTCCCCCTCGTAGCAACGGAAAAGTGGTTGGCGACCGAGGAGCAACTGGAAAAGTAATCATGAAGGGAATCAAGTAAGTTCATTATTTCTTACCCATAGTAGCTGGCTTTGGTGAAGCCATGCAAATGCTGCCAATTATTGCCATCGACTTTATTGACGATATGTTGGACAATTCAGCTTAACACAGAACACAACAGGTTGCTAACTCTGCTTTAAACACTTCTAAGAGTGTGAACGTGTCATATTCTCCTGTTCTTGCACAAATATCGTGTGGGGAGGCATGAATTAACACGTGGTGCTCCTGTCCCTCCTATTCTCCCGTGCCTCGGTGACAGGGCCTCTGCAAGTGCCAACTACGTTGTGCTCAAAGTGCGAGTCAACAACGTCCGGTCTGGAGGGGCTGTGCCCTCCATGGACACCGTTTTGAATTGCCTTGCTGGCAAGTTTGAGGCAGGATATGAAGGTAGTGCGTGGGAGAACATCACGAGTACCAGGGGTGGTCGGCTCAAGCGTTACAGCTTCACTGCCTCACAGGTTTTGGGCCCAGGCACTCCGGCCGATGTTAGGATATTCATTGAGTCCTATACTCATCAATCAACTGGCGCACATTTGGTTGCTTCTCATCCAGAAAATGACCATGCTCTTTGCGGGAAGTTGAAGAAGAGACCCGTATGAGCATGACCATGTCACGTTCATGTTCGAAAATTGTAAGGACTTCTGCAAACAACATGGGATGGGACCCAGGGGCTAGGGTGTAGCTCATTGTGTTATCTTGAGCCACGGTTTGCAGGATTGGAGATCACCTCCTTGTGAATAGCGTATCCGTGCTTTATATGCAGATATGGAAAATTTCTAAGCGTTTATCGCTTTCAAATTTGCGTATTGTGAAAGCGAAGCTGATTGTAATGCAATTTGGTGCATCGTCGAAGCGCGGTATGCGCCTTCTCCGAATATATAATGTGGGCTGGGGTCATTCTTCCCCCACCCACGTCTCTCATTTTTACAATCGCTCAAGTTAAATTCCAGGTTCCGAGACCCATCCCGATTTTTTCGGAGGTTCCAGTTGTTGGGCTGAGAAAAGCCCTAAGGATCTTTGCAGATGATAACTCTGGGTAGGATACTTTGTAATAGCGGAAGCGTTTAATGAAGTTTTGTGAACCGACCTTCCACTAGTGTGTGAGAGCAAAGTAGATTGATTAAAACAAGCAAATACAAGGTTTATATAAGAGTACAAGGAATACGAATAGATAGATTCAAACCGTTTTACTGTTGCGATTCGATACAGTGCGACTCGGGCAACTGCTCAATGTCGAGTCAGTTGTGTGTCCTTGCTGTCGCGCTGTAATTGTCGAGTCAAAGGTCGCTGACCTTTGACTTTCCCGTAACCTCCAGGCGGTTACCCTAACCTCCGAGGTTTGACTCGATGCTTCGATTCGGACTGCTTCGCTAGTGTCTTGGGTTTTGACACGACAGAGGCGCCTTTAAGACTTATTGTTTCCAACACCCCCCTTCGCTTCTGGAGTGTCGCTGATGGTGACGTGGCCTTGTCCAGTCAGCAGCATGCAGTACTCGAACTTCTGTTTTCCGAGCTTCTTGGTCAAATAGTCGGCTGCCATCTCGGACGTGGGACAGTAGGACAGTTCGAGTTTCCCCTTCTCGATCTCGTCCTTCACGAAGAAATAGCGCAGGGCGATGTGTTTCGTCCTGTTTGCGAAGCCGTTCTTGTTGGCGATGCGAATTGCTGACTGGTTGTCGCAGAACACGGTGAAGCTGGGTAACTCGGCTAACTTCGCTTCTTCCAGCAGTTCGCGAAGGTAAAGTCCCTCCATGGTGGCTGAGCAGAGTGCGATATATTCCGCTTCAGCTGAAGACAGTGCGATTAACTCCTGCTTACTCGACTGCCAGGAGATAGGACCGATAGGCTCGAGGCGGTAGACATAGCCGGTGCGTGAGCGCCTGTTATCGGTGTCGCCGGCGTGATCGGCGTCGACGTAGCCGATTAGCTTGGTCGGTGTAGTTGCGTTTTTGTGATAAGTTAGTCCGATCGTCGCGGTGCTGACGAAGTAGTGGAGAGCGCGATCGAGTTCCGCCAGATGCTCTGCTTCAGGCTTCTTGAGATAGGTGGCGAGCTGACTCGCGGAGTAGGATAAGTCGGGACGGCATGTAACTGCTGCGAAGAGAAGACACCCGAGCTTCTTCTGATAGTCGCGTATGCCGGCAGGCTTGAGTAGAGTAGATCGTTCCTTTTCGGTTCCTGACGTGTAGCGGTAAGGCGTGGAGAGGGCGCTTGGTGTGAGACCGAAGCGTTTCGCGATGGTGTCGGCGTACTTCTCGGCGCTGAGGTAGATCGCGTCCTTCCCTTCTCGGATGTTGAGTCCGAGATATTGCGTGACGGTAGATGAGACGGTGAGAGTAAGGTCCTTCTACAGCTCCCCTTCGAACCACGTGGCGATGCCGTCGGTTGACCCAATGTAGAGGAGATCGTCCACGTAGACGATCAGGAGAACGTAGTCGCTTCCCTTTGTGAGGCGGTACATGCCCTGGTCATGCGGGAGTTGTTTAAAACCGATGCGGATAAGGCGGGCGTGCAGGTACTACTGCCACAGTCGCGGTGCCTGCTTGATCCCGTAGAGCGACTTAAGCAGTTGACAGACTTGGTTGGGTTCACCGTGGGAGCCGTGCGGGAGCTCGACGAAGATTTCTGCATCCACAGGTGCGTAGAGAAATGCGTTTGCGACGTCGATTTGTCGCAGTTTCTTTTTCTTCATGGCGGCGATGGCGATGAGGATTCGGAGTGAGGTGTGATGGCTGACCGGAGCGAAGGTTTCGGTGTAGTCTCTTCCGTGCTCCTGGTCAAAGCCGCGCACGACCCAGCGAGCTTTGAATTTGTCGATGGTGCCGTCAGCTTTCGTCTTCACACGGAAGACCCACTTCCCGGTAAGGATAGTCTTGTTTTGTGCTACGCCGATGGGAACGATTTTCCAGGTGTTGCGCTCCTCCAGTGCCTTCAGCTCTTTGTCCATGGCTTCACGCCATTTCTCCCTATGTTCCCCCCCCAGAGCCTGTTGAACGGTCGCAGGCTCTTTAGGAATGGCGACGCCATGGACTGCGGTGACGAGTCCAAGGATTTGGAGGCCACTCTGTGTGTATCGAGGGAGTTCTGGATCCGCGGGATAAGCTGCTTCGTCTCCCGCTTCTGGGTCGGGTATGAAATTTGGCCCTACCCTTTCTGCTTCGTTGGTGTTGACTGTCGCAGGTGTTACGTAACCGTTGTCGGCGAAATGGTAGAAGACTTCGGCGTTGTTACTGTCGCGAGGATTATCCTCATCCATGGGCACGTCGACGGAGCAGTACGGAAGAGGTCCGGCTTCCTCCGATGCGTTGTCCCAATCTGCTTCGTCCGCTGCTGAGGCGAAGGCTCGGTCACCACGAAAGCCACCTGTGAGGTCCCGATTTTCGTGCAAGTTGGCGAGGTACGTCTGAAGGGTGAGTCGCTCGTAGAAGATTACATCACGTGCTGCCACTGTTTCTTTTGTGTGGACGTCGAAGATTCTCCACGCGTTGTAATTTTTCTCGATGCCGAGGTGTAGTCCCCACTGTGCTCGTTGCGAAAATCTTCCCGCTCGTGCTTCGGGGGGTCTGTACTGTACCATGCACCCAAAAACACGTAACATTTTTGTGCTGCCCTGCTTTCCTGTCCACAGCAGATGCGGTGATGCGTTGTTCGGGAGTGACGACGACGACAACAAGTTGTGCAGCATGACAGCATGGTCCATTGCTGCTGGCCACTGGTGGTTGGGTAGCCGCATGCCACGTAGCAGTTTGCGCATGCTGTTCTGCAGGGTCCTGTTCATTCTTTCTGCAACACCTTGCTGCTGATGTGCGTAGGGAAGGGAGAGGAGTTGCTTGATCCCCCTTTCCGCCAGGTACTGCTTGAAGCGCTGAGAGGTGTACTCGCCACCTCCGTCTGACTGGAAGCTTTTCAGCTGCGTTCCTGATTCTCTTTCTGCTATCGGTAGCCAGGCGGCGAATGCTGTGAGTGCCATGTCGCGGCTGGGTAGGTTGCGATGCCAGACGTATCGAGTGGCGGCGTCGATGAAGGTGATGGTGTAGTTGTAGGTAACTTGTCCTGGTTCGCGATTGTAGAGGATGTCGCTGTAAACCTTTTCGAGTGGTGCGTACGCGGGCGCGCTCGGGTTATGGTGAGAAGGGAACGATCGATGCGGTAAGTCGGCTTCAGGGCAGATGAGGCAAGTCCCTCGTGCCTTTTGGAGTTCTCTGCCGTCGGGTAGTAGTAGGGAGTCTTTGTCAAGAACTCTTGATCTTATCGTATTATTTAAGACCGTGTTGCTTGGATGTCCTGTGCGTGCGTGCCAGATTTCTTCAGAGGCGCGGTGTCCGGGTGAACGTTGGTATGCGTCGGAGTTGGAGTAAAAGCTGGCGACGAAGTTGGCGCTTCGGTGGACTTCGCGTTGAGTTGGATTCAGCTGTTGTGCGGATGTTGGTGGTGCTTCGTCGACTGTGGCTGGTGTCGTTGTTCCTGCTGCTGCTGAAGTTGTTGCTGCTGCCGATGTTGTTGTTGCTGCCGATGTTGTCTCTGCTGCTGCCGATGTTGTCTCTGCTGCTGCCGATGTTGTCTCTGCTGCTGCCGATGTTGTCTCTGCTGCTGCCTAAGTTGTCTCTGCTGTTGCCGTTTGATGAATCGTTGCTAACGCTCGTGTTCGTTCTGTTTCAGGGATAGTGTGGGAGTACCAGAAACCTCCCGGGCTGAAGTTGGGATCGAGATCCGGAGGGTGTGTCCAGTCAGTAAAGTTCACGATGGCGTCGCTGTCTGCAGTGCCCAGGTTGGGAACGAAGTCGAGAACGAAGACGTTGTTCTTCAATACTGCTTTCCCGATGTAGAGACCGCCTCTCCCATGGTATAGCTTGAACTCCTGGGTGGTGCTGTCGGCTTCCAGGTGAATCCCCTTCGCCATCAGCTGGCTAACACTCAGTAAGTTGTAACCGAGTCCTTCTGCGATGAGTACCTTTGACATGTGCAGTATGACTTTTGTTTCTCTTGACTGAAGCTGTACCACTCCTTGTCGTCGTGTGCGCAGGTTTTGATAGTTGGCGACCGTGATGACTACTTCTCGCTGGAGTCGGTGTTCGCGTTGTACGAAGCGCCCGGACGAGCACATGTGTTGCCCGCAGCAACTATCCAAGAACCAAGTGTCTTGGCCGGACGGTTCACTTTGAGCGATGGCGGCGTAAGTCGGATTCGGGTGGAGTGATTCGCGGCGAGGCGTCCTGTTGTCGAGCTCCTCTTCTGGTGAGTAGTGGGGTGGTGACTCTGTTGTGCAAGAATCGTTTATCTTCACCATGCAGTTGACTATGTTTCTTGCTCCTTGTGCAGGTTGTCCAGTTGAAGTCGTTGAAGCTTGGATCGTGGTTGTCGGACTTGCTTGTGTCGAAGCAACTTGGGAGCTTGAAGGCCGCAGTTGTCGCTGTGGTGTCGTCTGACGGGACGGGCAATGCGTGCGAGGATGGCCCGAGGTTTTGCAGATGTGACAGAATGGAGGTACTGTCTTCACTTGTTGCTGTTGTCGATTGTTGTATCGTCGCTGAGTGTGAAACGCAAACTCCGGTGCTAATGACTTCTTCTTGTGCCTTTCTTCTTGCAGGTCCATGTCCTGTTGCTCGGCGTGGATTTCGGCGCAGAGTGCTGCTTCAGAAATTCTTCCGTGGGCTCGAAGAATTGCTTTGGTGGCGCGCCACTGAGGACCGAGGCCACCGATGATGACTGTTACGAAGGCGTCTTCAGAGATTGATCC